TACTAGGCAGCTGACGTCATATCTTTGATTTTCGATAAAATGCGTTTTACTCGATGTTATAGCGCATTCCCTAAAAGACCCGTGACCGGCAAAACATGTTATCTTTGACCTGGCCTGTGACGTCATCGGTGATCCCGAGGCCAATTAAATTAAATTTCCTTCAACAAATTTGACAGGGCTTTCGAACGCCCTTTGGATTTTGCGGAACCGTCCAGTAGTTCCGGAGATACGAGGGGGGGGGGCAAAAATAGCCCCCTCCCCCCACGAGGTCGCGTTATAAACAGACCCCACCCAGGGCGCGGGTTAGATATTGACGTTGAATATCGCAAGCGTTATACAGCTGCAAAATCTTTGTTTCAAAATGATTAACGCTTCCAAATTTAGTGGTAACAGGTGACTCGACTCAGAAACGAATCTTTTTCAATCCCGGCTCTCGGGTTATATACATAAACGGCTTCCACAAAGGTCATAAAAGTGGGCGGGTGGCTACCCACGACGCTCCTGTTGTTACCAGGTGGCTACCTGGGCCTTTGTGTTATTGAAGCTATTGAAGCAAAACAGTTCGTAAAAACGGCTTCTTTACTTTTTGCCCTCTAGAGACTAAACCTTGACGTGGGGTCAACTATGAGGACACATTACGGATCGAGCGTTAAAAGGGTTATCGAATGCGATTTCTCGCAGCGCTGTAGCTCTACTGGTTCCCAAGTTAGGTATGCACCGGATTTTCGAAGAATGTTGAAGTAGGCAACATTTTACCTTTGATGGCCTCTGGTGACCGGACCTTTGACCTGACCTAAAGATGACCGAAATGTTTCGTCTTGCTTTTTGACGTTCTTTCGAATGCCACTCAACCCTCGCTGGTATTAGTGTCTTGCCAGCAGCGAAGGTAGGGGGGGAGGGGGCCCGTTGGATCCCGCCTTGCCGTTTGGCCCCTGATCGAACTAGAGCTTTGCGGTATAAACGAATTTGTTGCCCGTGACAAGAGGAAGCCGATGATACCTAATTTTTTAAGGTCCAAGGTCATTGGTTGACATTCCGGGTCAGAACAATGACCCAAACGACGGTAAAGTCGGGACCTGTTAGAGCGTCGTTGAGTGAGAATATTACTTTTTTAGGGTTGCTGATCACGAATATCCTGTTAGTTTTGATAATCAAGGATGTTTTCATCCACTTAGGCCAGGTCAGGTCACGTCAGATCAACCAATAGCGGTCCTGCCAGGTATTCGCAGTAGGTGTCAACGGCCTCTGACAGCTGCGTAGCATGTTACGAAGGCACCAAAACTACCTCGTAAATGTTCAAATGGTTGCTAAATTCGAAATTAGCACCACAAACTAGATTAGAAACAAGTAAAACTCGCGAAAAGTGAAACGAGGTCATCAAAAGTCAATGACCTGACCTGACCTCTGGGTCACCTTGACAGCTGACACCCACCATAATACATGGGACCAGCATCATATCACATGTTTGTACGCGTGAAAGTTGAAACCACGAAAGGACTGCAAGCGCGCGGCTAATGCGAGCCGACATACGCCGAATCGCAATGCCGGTCAAACATGGTCTAGATAAATAGATCACAGGTCAAAGGTCATTTGCGTCAGGATAATGAAATCCTAAGAGTAGATGCAGAATTGATTAACCTGAGGGCACTGAAAGTTTCGTCGCAATCGGCCACTGTTTACGCCAATTATTGCGAAAAACCGAGGGGATCCATTCGACCGCCCCCTCGCCCACGTCGTATCGTGGCCCAAGAGCCGAGTTTAGACGAGGGGTGTTCAGACGGCCTAACCCCCCCCCCCCCCCGGCCCGGCTCGGTTGGCGCCGAGCACCAGGCCGGCCCGGCGCGGGCTAGAAACTAGAAAGTCCTTTTGTATGATTTCCGTCAGCAGTGTGTTAGTCAGACATAAAATGTCAATCTGTTTTGATTCCTGGAAAGCGTTGATTTGTTACAATTTCGCAGTCATCGACCATATAATGTGCAGGTGGCAGATGATCATTTTGGGACGGACCAGAAACCCGGCCGTCCGCGTCTGCTCCGTTGACAGCCGTGTTGGACGGCTCAGAGTCCTGCTGTGGGCAGACGGTCATAGTGGACGTTCTACACGGAGGGGAGGTCCCCAGCGTCCGGAGCGGTCAGCTGGTCACCATTCGCTCTCCCTTGGCACGGCCATGGATGAAGTATTCCTAATCCATGGAATACCTAATCCATGGCACGGCGGGTGGGCCGGCGCGCCGACCCACGCGCACCCGCGTCCCTGTCGCCTCGGAAGTGCCCGGAATGTTGACTTTAGCCGCCGGCAGCGTCCCCTGACCGTTGGGCCTCCCTCCAGCGGCTCCGGTTGTCATGGTTGCTGGTAGGGGAGACGACGGATTCTAGAAGCTACTCCGCGCGGTACCATGCGTAGGAAATAAATTAGTTTAAATAAAATTGTGCAGAACTTGCGGTAGAAATGTAGAAAAAACGCATAGGTATCCTATAATAACCTACTGCAAAAATAATTATTATGTTGCTAAAATTAAGTTCTTAACATGGTATGGAAACTTCGGTTGGTATAATTAGGTACATAGGTAGGTCTAAGTTGAAGTAGCAGGCACCTTAATTGTATTCGATACATTATGTCTCCTCTCAATGAATTTACTTAAACACTCACCTGGTTTCCTGGACAACAATGAGCATGAGCCTCTCCTGAAGCAAATGCAGATCCAGATCCAGCAACCGACACTAGCAGTAAAAATATTAGGATTTTCTGTGCACCAATTGATGATGCCTCTTCGAATTCACGCCATAAAACTGCAGACCTTCCATGATTTCGCAAGATATGGAAGGCCGCGCTTTATTTTCGCTCGTTGCATAGTCATACTTCAACTTTGGCTTCCACTCCTTGCACTTATTTGCACATATCCAACGTCTCACTCTCAAATGTTCCACGGCACATATACGCAACACCAAAGAGAAAGTCAGGGAAGACGCTACAGGATTAGACGGTGACCGCCTGTAGTTTCAAACCCTTCCAAACAGCTGACGCCAGACTGGCCTCAGTCCGCCAATCAGACGCTGGCTACCTCGCTGTCGGCGGTTCCCATTGGCCGCTCCCCCTTGGCTCTCGGTGGCTACCAGGGTGGCTTGGCTACCCCGTGGCCGGAAGGTTGGGGTAATGCATTTTCCCAGCTCTATTTCTCTGTTACTTGCTCGAAGATTGCCACAAAAAGAGCAACGAAACGAATGACAAATCCCTGTTTTAATGTTTTTTTTTGAAGAAAAGTCGTTAATAAATGCAAAAATAGTTATAGACTCCAAATTTACCACAAACTGATCGTATGATGAACAGATTTTGGTTTCGCATATCTAAGTCCAAGTACTTGTACTTGCTTGCTACCTAGATGTGTAAATGTTCGTGGCAGGAAAGTTGCCGAGCGTGCTACCTGAGACCGGCGCTATCTCAGGTAGCACACGACATCACTTTTCACTAAATTTGTTGACTGTGCACCTTTCTTTTGAAGATATGAAAAAAACTTGCTTTTTTACAGAGATAAGGAAATCAATGTTTGCTCTATATTCTAGCAAGATTTGTTCCTCTTTTCTAAAATGGCTTTGCCTTGAGTGGTTACCTGGCTTGTCAGTGAGAGACTTGAATTGGTTACCCACGGGTGTGGACGAGTTGGCGACTTTTATGACCTCTGGGCTTCCATTTTGTTTTTGTCTTTCCGAATAGCTTATGACACGATACCCGCCAGAGTATAGCTCCGTACCTACCTGTCAATCCGAATCTGAGGCGAATGATCCTATCTGACTCTTGGAACTGGAATCCGTGGCGCATCAGTCCACCTGAATCTTATCAATTAGCTTCACCAACCCCGCTGTCGTCGCGTGGACCATGTTCTTCACGCATAAACCACCTGTCGTAACTTACATTTAGACCATATGCTCGTAAGACACCCGTGTCACCACACACGTATTTACATACCTACCACACAAAATTTGTGCTGCCACACATGTGCAGTTGCACACATACAAGGCTTGTGTCACCACGCACGTGCCACGTGGTTAGGACACGTGTCACCACGTGCCACCGACTCTGTCCTTATCAGACCCATTCTCACCCCATATCTGCGAGCTAGTTCGTATGTGAGGAACCATGTTCAGAATGCGGAAATGGCAGCGTGTCCCCGCGGTCAGACAGGAAGGGCGCGGGAGGACGGAATGCGGGCCGCAGGCGGATGGCCGCAGGCCAACTGTCACACTCACCACAAACAGGGACGGGGCAGCACACAAAGGTAATGCGGAAAAATTGGACGACAGGCTGCCACCGGGCAACGAGGAGAAATACTGAAATTATTCAGTAGGTATAAGTTTTACTGATGGGCATGTGTCGAAATGCATTCTTTTTGTATGGTATCGACTATCGTTGATTGCATGCTCTTGTTCCTTATTCCAAAGCATTTAGAAAAAATGATGTTTTTATCTGTCAGCTTTTATAGGGCCGCCAGCGTAGGCATTGTAGCACCTGGTTCAAGCCATAATTAATATTTGTTTTACATCGTTACGCTTGAAGTTTCTGACTGGATAATTCTAGGTAAGCAAACCGATAAACGGTTTCAGTCCGGGGCTGGATTACAAGACACATTTTCTCAAATGGTTAGTCCTGTTTGGTGCACATAAGTCATTGTGATGATAATCAATTCAACTGTATAGTTTACTGTTCTGGTATATCTAATTTTGCTAATGCAATGTTTCACCAAAAACTGCGTAAATGACTTCTGAAGCCTCAACAGTTTCAGTTGACACCAGCTGAGGAGGACTGATATTGCATATTTCGAGAGACGATTGTTACCGAATTGAGCCTGTTATATTTATAAATAGAGTACCTATATAAGTTACGCATCGCAATGAGACAGTTGTTGACTGTTGTTCAGCTACACAGATCTCGAGCGTCTGCAGATCGCGCTGGTTCTCGATCTCTCCGGAAAAAGGCGCTGGTTCTCAAACTTCCATCACTTTACAGAGTTCTCGGCTCTTCTGGAGACGTCGCCTGGTTACGACCTAAACACCGCACCAGCTGGCGAGCCTGAGTCACCGTGCAGGGTGACATGGGCGCCAGCCAACACCAACACGGATCGTCGCGACTGTTACTGTCGCTTTCCGCTCGAGCGCTGATGAAACTCACCAAATGGACCGGGTAAATAGTGGCGCCGCGTGATAAAGGTCTTCCATGTTGTGACACGGTGGATGCTGTTAGATCACATGTCGGTGTAGGTGGCCCTACCCACGGAAACACAACGGGCTTTGGAGAAGCAGTCACCAGGTAAAAATAAAGTAAAACATGATTACCCATATATGTTGTCAATTCACCCAGGTATTTTAGCCATCAATTTAAAACAGGCTAGAATTCTTTTGCTTTTTTACCTTAAGTCAGCAAGACGCATAGCTCTGAATTAGACAAGCAATTATAAAGGCCCTAATTTCTGCAAGCATTCCCTATTGCCGAGATAAGTTAGCTGACCATGAATAAGTGAATCTATTGCATTTTATTCCAGGTGCTTGTCAGCGTAAGTTTTCGGACTGCGCAGCTAGTTGTGGCGGTGAGAAATACGGTCCGACATTCTGCTCAGCAGGGCCTGCACACCAGACGGTCGTTTTCCCCGTGCCGACCGCGACTGCCCGACGCGCCATCGGTCTTCCTGCACTGCCAAAAATATGCCCCCGGGGCAGAGCCGCAGCGCCAGGCGCGCCGCCGACCGCTCGCTATGTCAGTAACGAGCGAACCGCGATCGCGAACGCGACGTACGTAGCCTGCTCTCGGCTTGGCACAGCGTGGGCTGTCTACTTTGTCAAAGATCAGCTTTGGACTGGTTGAATGCGATCAAGACACGTCTATCAAGGATACCACTAATCGCGATGGATCAAATCGGCTCTGTGTCTGTCCTGGACGACTATCTTCACAACATTGTCGGCGAAGAGGCACACGTGCGTATAGCTTTTGATGAGTGTGTGGGACGTCACCTGGTAGCAACCCGTGACCTCGCCGTGGGTCAGGTCATCGCCCGCGAGACGCAGGCCATCTCGGCGCCTCAGAGTGGACGTCTTTGTGTCGGATGTCAGCGCCGTCCTGCCGGCTCCGAAGGTTGTCCCCGCTGTGGGTGGCCGCTCTGTAATATTTGTGCGGATAAGGTGGAGAGCGGCAGTCTGTCGTCTTCGTGGCTGCATGTAGAGTGTGAAATCCTGACACCGCTGCGCGAGAAGCGTCCGTGGCAGACATGGCGTGCGCCCGGTGCGGTGCTGGGAGTCCTGCGTTGCCTTCTGCTGCGCAAAGAGCGACCCGACGTCTGGGCTGCCGTTGACTGTCTCCAGGACAACGTCACGAATCTCGGCCGCACTCCGTGGCTGCAGGGATGTCTGCAGAACATCATCGCGCCGATCCAGAACGATTGCGGCCTGAATGAGTCCGTGCGAACTCTAGCACACATCGCCGGGGTGCTAGACACCAACTCCTTCGCGGTATCGGCTGCAGATGGCATGTCTGCCAGAGCGCTATACCCACTCCTCTGCCTGATGGCTCACGACTGCTCCCCAAACACCAACCGCTTCTTCGACTCTGGTGTGACCACACTGATCGCCACCAGACCCATAGCAGTCGGAGAGCGCGTCCTCACGTCCTACACCTCCCTGCTCTGGGGAACGGACGCCAGACGCTCCCACCTCGCCGCCACAAAGTTCTTCCACTGCACCTGTCGTCGATGCGAACAGCCCAGCGAGCTCGACGCTGAGGTGACGTCTCTGGCCTGCCACAAAGATGTCGACGATGGCAGCGTCTGCGGAGGTAGACGATCGTGCCGTCGTGTCGGGGACGACGAGGTCTGGGAATGCGACCGGTGTGGGTTCAGGATGCCGGCAGCCAAGGTGCGCACGCTGCACCAGATGCTGGCGATGACGCTGGGCAGGACTCTGGAGCTGCGGGACGTGGAGAAGGCGGAGCGCTGGGCGGAGGCACACCGGGAGGTGCTGGCTGAGAACCATCACTTTCTGCTGGAGGCGCGTCTGTTGCTTGTGGACCTGTACGCGGAGAGAAAGGAAGGTGAGAGCAGCGAACTAAAAACAAAGCGGTGGGTAAAGGTAGGTTGACTTGTGTCATGGCAACTGAAAGGTAAGCAGAACCAGTCAGTCATAATTTGAGAGGAAATCACGATTAATTATCATGGAAAATTAAAAATATGAAAAGGCAGTCGCTGAAAAATACGTGCTTATAGTGTCAACTTATAAGTACTGTTGGGCAATGTCAATTTTTATCTTACACATGAAAAGAGAGAGCGAGAGAGAGAGAGAGAGAGAGAGAGAGAGAGAGAGAGAGAGAGAGAGAGAGAGAGAGAGAGAGAGAGAGAGCGAGAGCGAGAGCGAGAGCGAGAGCAAGAGAGATCCCCTCCCATCCACAGCTCCCTCAGTTACAGCTTGTCTCTGAGTTGACAAATGAGGGCCAGGAGTTGCAGCTCCAAATAGATGCATTCAACGTCACCTGGAAACGACACATCATTTCAAAGGCAGTTGCGGACTCTAGGAAAGATGAATGATCAGGGCTGAGAGATCAAAGATATTTCATAAATAGGTATGAGTAATGTATGGCTTCTGTTGTCATTTATAGCATTTATAGGTACAATATTTTGGCTTAGCTTAGCTGTTGAAAATAAAAATGTGTGATTACTTTTAGTTGAGAGATGCTCCAGTCAGCTGTGCAGTAAACGTTTGGAAACTTCTTTAGACAGCGTCTCTTTAGCCTCTGCATTTAGGCACATTAGCATTGTAGGTGGGTGTCCCAACAGTCCGTGTTGTTCGCAAGTTTGCCGAAGCCCGACATGCTTTACAAAGTTTGTCGAAGTTTTTGGCGTTTAGCTTGTTTCAAGACACAAACAGATGACTTGAATTCAATCTGAATGTTTCAGGACAATGGAAATTATACCTAACCTTGTGAGAAAATAAAATTCATGTTTAGGAAGACATATTAATGTTTTTTAGATGTATGTATACTGTTCGTTCATGCGTCCGGCTAAGCACAGTTTTCTGTAAATTGTCGCGGCAAACCAGCAATTATTCAAAACCTGCTCCGACGCATTCCAGGCAAAATTCAGCCTTGCCCCAGCCCGCTCCCATGGCGGCGCGGCTGGCCGATCTGGTCGCTGACTCACAGCTCGCTGCCGTGCCAGCGTGTGTTTTGTTTCTGATAGCGGCACAGATAGTGGCAAGGAAAACGTCGATTTGGCTGGCATCAGACCACAGCGGCGTCAATCCGACCCCGATGTTCTGGAGATGTCTCGGCGCTCAAAATAGACAGAGCGCCACGGCTGGAGGTGGGCTATGACGCAAAGCCAGCCCGCAGATCCTCTGAAAGACCTCACCTCAAACGGGGTCGATGTCATGGCAGGGTTTGAATAGCTGCTCGATCACTACGAGATGTCACCGTGTACGAGATAGTGACTTGGTGTTTGTTATTGTTAGTTGCATTGCGACGGAATTTCTGAGAGGATGAACACCATTGGGGATTAATTGGGCGGTTGAATATGTAGAGGCAACTTGTAGAGTGGAGCAATGTTATTATTAGAGAATGCGGTCCTGAACTTTGCTCTTTGAAATGTTTGATGCTCATTTTGCAGGTGATGTTATCGAGAACAACAGAAAGCGACGACGTCTCTGCGAAGGCCTGCTGGACATCACTTCCAGGCTGGATCCGGGCCCCACTCGCATGAGAGGTAAATTCAGAACTGTCAACAACTGTCAGACTGTGTTTTAGATTGCGTACACTTTCACACTGCACGTACTTGCAGCGAGAAAAATGTCAACATCTCAAACAAAAGACATTTTCATCTACTTCTAGTTGATTTTAGCAAGCAAACAATGAACATGAAATTATGTAGCAATTTTAAACAAATGGTCTTAGGCTGAGCTTATGACTAAATTTTTCTACGAACAACCATCTTATCTAATCACATAAGCAACGTGGACAGAAATATGGCATAATGCATGTCCTAATTTTATCAATACGAGTAGAATGAAGCAACGACAGCGTTGTTACACATGTTTCGCCAAAACTCTCATGCATGTTTTACAAGACTGCGTTGATGTGTCTCACTGAACTGAATTGCGTGAACTCTGACTCACTGAAGTTTGTTCAATATTTTGCAAGCAACCTATGTATGTATAACGTGGAATTGAACCGAACATGCGTGAGAATATGTGAAAGCCTGCAAAAACGTGTTTGCATTTTATTTGGGCTCATGTTCGCTACATAGAACTGGCCACAGATCATGGATCGACTCATTTTTCAGACGATATTTGTCATAGAACAATTTGGTGAAATTGAACAAAAAACAGAAGCCTGCAGACCTGCAGAGACCTGCTGTTTTCCTAATTTTAATCGATAAGAAAAAAAAAACATAGTTGATTTACTGACAAGTCTCGCTGATATGAGTCGACTCCAAAGTGTTTATTTGCCCGCACTAACCCCTACGTCACCGATACGTCACGACGTCACGCTGATGTACGTCACCAGTGACGTCAGCCGGTGCTCACACCCTGGCCGCCTCTGTGACGTGATTGCAGGGAAGCTCCTCTGCCACCTGGTCGAGAGCACTGTGCTGGCTGGCGACCCTCGGCAGGTAGTGTTCACTAAATGGAAGCTCAGCTGTGTGAAGTGCATTTTCCCTGACCAGCCGTTTGCCGAAATGCCCGCCTTTTCTGTAACGCTGAGAGTAGAGGAGAAAACATCCATGGATTGCAACCCTTTATGTGATGATCTAGTTTGCATATGAGGTTTTGACTTGTTCTTCGCTGCAGCTGATTTGGTAGAGCTGCTGAATAAAAAATAAAATTGTTCAGGGCGCAGTCAACATGTCACTTGATGACAAAGAATAGCGAGACATTCGTCAATTCTTGTTTGTGTCCCAATATCAGAATAAGGCCATCCACACTTCCCATTTCCAATGGATGTTGCCTCCATCGATGAATGTTATTTGATTACACACCCATCCATGGATGTCCCTTTTGAAGATGCTGCAGCACTTGAAACCTCTGAGAAAGCTTTGATCTAGCTAGCTTCCGAAACTGGTCTTAGCTTCGCTTGGTTTTTAGATAGCGTTGGCATTTGACAGTTGTTATATCGAACGAAACCGACAAAAAGTTACATCGAAAGACACCATCTTTAAACTGTAATCGTTTAAAGTGCCTGCAATCTGCCGGTTTAATTAACCCGCGCCCTGCTGGGGGGGGGGGGGGGGTGGGGGGTGTTTGAACACCTTCCTTGTGGTTTTTCGCGAATATCTCAAAAACGGCGGCGCGGAGCGCCGCTGTTTTTGGTAAACCTTATCATACATCAATTCTACACATGTTGTGAAAATTTCAGACCAAGGTCATTCAAGGTCAGGTCACCAGGTCACTTGAAGTGACCTCACCTCATAAAACGTTTCAATGTCTGTCATAGCTACACCGAGTGACCGATCGCTTTGAAACTTTCAGCGATTGCTAAGAGCAATAGCATGTACAAAATGTATATCTCAGAATTTCGATATCGATGACCTAAGGTCAGGTCAATTTTGCGACCTCCCCATTATAAGTCAATGGGAGAAAATTGAAATGCGCCTCTTTTGGACGAAAGAGATTATAAAACTCCCAAACACTGAATTACAAGTGGTTTAGACACACTGAACATGAAAATGGTGTCCGTGACCCCTGTTTATGCCCTGAGGTCATTTTAGGTCACGAATGGTATCTAACAGTTTTTCGCAAATAACTTTTGATAGAGGCATACTAGAGCGATGAAAACGCCTTAGATGTGTTCAGCTCGGCGATACGGATCGACTGATATGCAACATGACCCTTCCCGGTCAGGTCATGACCTTGAACTGAGGTCAAATTTTCAAGTTGACCTTTCAAGGTCAAGTTATAGTTCATTCGATGCGTCTTGACGAGAGGAACACGATTCCGGTAAAAGTAAGCTCGTACAAGGCTTGGGTCAAAAGTTATTGCAGAAAAACTGTTTCCGAAAAAAAAAATCGGCTATTTTTGCAGTTTTTGCCCCCTGCAGGCAAAACCGTTGACGTTAGGTCAAATCTGAGAAAATACGCAGAAAGGGCGTTAATAGGGCTATCGAATGCGCTTTTCCGCGGCGCTGTAGCTCTATTTGTTCCCGAGCTATGCGTTGGCTTCTTGGAAATTTTCGACATTCGACCTGGAAATCGGCGAAATTTTGCCTTCAATGACCTCTGGTGACCTGACCTTTGACCTGACCAAAAAATTGACCAAAGTGATTTCGTCATTATTTTTGACGCTCTTTCGAACGCCGCCTTCCGCGTATCGCTACGTGGCCCAGGAGCCGAGTTAGAAGGGGGGGGGGTGTTCAAACACCCCCCCCCCCCAGCAGGGCGTGGAAATCCAGGACCCCCAGCCGGGCGCGGGTTAACGTAAATAAGCAATAACCGTTCCTCAAAGATGTGTCATTCGCTGTATCCTATGATTGGTCCATGCTATTTAGTGGCATTAGACCACCCAAGAACGAGAGCTCCCAAAATGTTGTCCCTCTCTTTTGTTAAACTCCATCTGAGTTGCGATGTAAATTTGAGTATACATATACGGACCTAACTGTTCACTGTAGCATAAATCAAGCATAACAACACTCACCAGAAGCATTGCATAATCCGTTGCATTTGCATTTAGTTACCAGCTGGTCGGACAGATGCAGCCTTGTTCCTCCCTTCCACGCATAGATACATATAGGTTTATACAAGATACATAGCTAGACGGAATTCAGCACTGAGGCACGTATGAGTTGAAGTGGTCAGGTAAAGGCTACGTGCTCTGTGATTGGAAGGAAAATGATTGTTCTGCCAAAATGACACGTGGGACGAAAGACAATGTTTAGGTAAGCGAGATAACGAGAGATCAGCGGTAAAAATTAAGGAAAAACGTGAGGAAAGCTCGCGCGAATACTCAGCCTGTCAGACGCCACTGTGCACTGTAGAAAAGCTATATTTAGCGTAGATATATCGAGATGTGAAACAACTGTGTAACGAGAGCCGGAATAACAACGGAGCGGAAGCGACAGTGCCAGAAACACAAACTATTTTAGATAAAAGATAGAAACGGGCTTACAGAAAACAACGAAATAATTACGCCAATTAAAGCACAATAAACTTATTTTAGAACGCAAGTAACATTATATAATCTTAAGACAATAGCGAAGATAATACGATTTAAATATAATACTAAAAACGAGATCAGAAGGTACTTGAAAAGGAAACAGTATTTGCGCACACGCAACAAAACAATAGCGCACTTGGGCGGAGACGCCGCAACTAAATAATGTGCCGGTGGGCTGCGCGGCACCACAGTACTTCCCCCCCTAAGAGCGGAGCGGGAAAAGATAAAAAAACTCACGAGGGTGGAACACGAAACCGAACGCGGCGACCAGCACGAGTGTACACGGCGTCTCGCTGTGGACGAACAGGCACAGGCGACGGCGGCGACGCGGGCGCCGAGCTCTGGCCCCCAAGACGGCGACCACGACGTGGCGGAGCAGATGGTGGCGGCGCTACGTCAGCACGGTCCGGCTCCGCTGGCGGCGATGATGAAGCGTGCACAGGCGGTGCAGCGCTGGCCAGGCCGGGAAGCGGGGACAGCGCGGCATCGGCGCGGCCCGGCTCCACCGACGGCGATGTGGTTGTACCGGACTGCACGGGGGGCAGGGGCGGTGCGGCATCGGCACCGCCCAGCCCACCCGGCGGCGGTGACTGCGGTAGGTATGCTGGCTTGAGCCGCTCGACCGAGACGGTGTCACTCTTCCCCGACGGCAGCTCCAGCTGGTACCAGCGATCCCATCGTCTGAGGACGCGCAGAGGGCCGATATAAGGCGCCTCCAGAGGGCGGCGCACGCGGTCAACCCGCAGCCAGACGTGTGAACACGTCGAGAGGTCGGTCGGCATGTGCGGCTGGGTCAGTCCATGGTGGCTGCCTTCAGACGGCGAGAGGAAGTCTGTCCTGGCGAGTCGGCGGGCCAGCTCCCCGACGGTCTCGGCGGCGCCGTCCGGAGCAGGCTGCCGGTCCACACTTATCCGGGGCTGCAACAGCATGCCCCCGGTGACGGCAGTGAACGGCGCATAGCCAGTCTCATTCATGGCCGCCCGGATGCCCAGGAGGACCACAGGTAGTGCTTGTAACCACTGTTTCTTGCTGGCGATGATGGCCGACTTCAGCGTCCGATGCTGACGCTCCACCATGCCGTTGGTCTTGGGGTGGTACGCCGTTGTCCGCAGGCGGTGAAAGCCGAGGATCTCGGCCAGTTGTCGGAAGAGGGCGGACTCAAACTGAGTACCTCTGTCGGTGACGACGTGCAGCGGCACACCAAACCGGGCCACCCAGACGTCCATGAAGGCGGCTGCGACGGTGGCTGCTGAGATGTCGGCGATAGGGGCCGCCTCCAGCCAGCGGGTGGAACGGTCAACACACGTCAGGAGGTACCGACACGGGGAGGTGAAAGACTCACCGTGAGGGATTGATGGCGGCAGAGGACCGACAATGTCTATGTGGATGGTTTCGAACCTGTCGCTGAGGAGAGAAAACGGAGACGGGACGGTTTTGGTGTGGCGGTGGACCTTACTCGATTGGCAGGAGGAGCACTCGCGTACCCACCGGCGGATACAGCGGTCCATGTCGGGCCAGAAGTAGCGCGACTTGACCAGCTGAAGGGAGGCCTTGACACCAGGATGAGCGAGGCTGTGCACCTGTTCGAACACATGAGTGCGGAGGGGGACTGGGACAAACGGCCTGGGAAGTGTCAGAGTGGTATCACAGAGGACGGTGAGATCAGCTGACAACGGGAAGGGTGTCAGCCGGTCCGAGTAGGCAGCTGTCTCCTGGTCGTCCCTCTGAGCCTCGGCGATGGCGTGTAGGTCGGCGGCGTCCACGGTGGCGGCGTTCACTGACGCTGTAGGCGTGGTGCTCGGTGGCGCAGCAGCCGCCAGCGACTCGGTGGCCGGGTGCGGCGCAGCAGTCACCGGGGTCATGCCAGTGTCGGCGGCGGTGCTGCTGAGCGCAGCAGACGGCGGATCGGGGCGCGCGCGCGCGCGGTCCGGTGCGGCGACAGGTGGCCGCTCCGAGCGCGCGCGGGCACTGTCCGGCGCGGCGACCGGTGGCGGCTCGAGGCGTACCGCGCGCGCGGCGACCGGTGCGGCGACCGGAGGCGGCACAGGGCGCGCGCGCGCGCCGTCCGCGCGCCCGTCCGGTACGGTGACCGGAGGCGACTCAGGGCGCGCACCCGCACCGACGGGCGCGGTAGCCGCGCTGCCCAGTGTGGCCAGGAGTGATCCTGTCGGTGGCGAGGTCTCGGAGCTCTGGTCGGGCGGACTGAGGGCGTCGGGGGTCACAGGGCGACTCCAACAGTCAGCGACCACGTTGTCAGCCCCGCGCACGTACTGGACGGAGGAGACGTACTCGGAGATCACGCTCCAGTGCCGCTGCTGACGGTCCGACTTGGCCGTCTGCGGGCTGAGGAACGCGGTGGTGAGCGGCCGGTGGTCAGTGAAGAGCGCGACGACACGACCTTCCAACAGGTGACGGAAGTGAAGCACGGCCAGGTAGGCGGCCAGCAGCTCGCGGTCGTATGTTG